CATTTTCTTTTCTTTTTTTAAATAATTATAAGATACAATAGCGTTAACAAACACATTTTCCATCTCTTATGAGAATTCTTTTCCTGGGGATACTAAGCAATGCTCATTCCCTTTTAAGATTCTAGTGTCAAACCAATGTTTGATTAAAGTTTTACTGGGGAACCAATGAATTTTCTGAGCTTACTTACTGAAATAACTGAGGGTTTGCTGAAGTGTATGAATGACCTGAGGGTTTGCACACTGGAAAGCCCTTACCCAGCATGGGCCAAGCCTTCTCTTCCTAGCCTTCCCCAGATTGCATACTTAGTCCTCCCCAAATCCAGGAGACCATGTGTGATTAGGGCCAAATTACATATAGTTGGCTGGGAAAAGCGGCTGGATACTCTGGTGAGGGTCCAAGTGACCCTGCTTGCCCCTCCTTTAATGAAGGAGCAGAACTGTAAACAAGCCCAACTGTGACGATGTTGAGTGATCAGGCACAGCTGAAGTGGTGATGATGGTAGATATTTCATGCAGAAGAGGCTGCTGTACAGCATCATCTTATTACAAGGACATGGAATTTAAAGGAATTTGGTGCTAAGATCCACAAATGAAGGAGAGCATGTGTCATTTCTTTTTCTGAGTCTGTGTTACTTTACTTAGCATAAGTTTCTAAATCCATTCATTTCCCTGCAAATTTCATTATTTCATCTTTCTTTACTGCTGAATAGAACTCCATTGTGTAAATGTACCACATGTTTGTTAACCACTTCTCAGTTGAGGGGCACTTAGGTTGCTTCCATCTCTTAGTTATTGTGAAAACAGCAGCAACAATCTTGGTTGGGTGTACAAGTGTCTCTGCAATAGGATGAGTCCTTAGGCTGTATGCCAAGGAGTGGTATAACCCGGTCATATGGTAGGTTTATTTTAGTCTTGTAAGAGTTCTCCACACTATTTTCCATAGGGGTTGCATGAGTTCGCAATCCCACCAGCAGTGAATGAGCATTCCCCTTTCTCCATATCCTTGCCAGCATTTGGTATCATTTGTTCTCTTGACCCTAGCCAGTCTGGTTGGGATAGATACCTTAAGGTGGTTTTAATTTGCATTTTCCTAATTACTGATGATGTTGAACAATTTTTGAGATGTTTCTTAGCCATCTTTGTTTCTTCCTTAGAGAACTTTCTGCTTAGATCTTCAGCCCATCTTTTAATTCAGTCCTTTGGTTTTTCGCTTCTTCGTTTTTTGAGTTCTTTATATATTCTGGATGTTAAACCTCTGTCAGATGTATCAGTGGTGAAGGCTTTTTCCCATTCTGTGGGCTTTCTCTTCACTTTTTTTTATTGTTCCCTTTTCTGTACAGAAGCTTTTGAGTTTAATGAGGTCCCACTTGTTGATTGCTGACCTTAATTCCTGAGCAACTTCAGAAAATCCTTTCCTACACCTATATCTTGTAAGTTACTGCCAATATTTTCTTCTAATAGCTTCAGGGTTTCCTGTTTCACATGGAGGTCTTTGGTCCATTTGGAGTTGACTTTTGTGCAAGGTGAAGGATAAGGAGCTAGTTTTATTCTTCTACAGGTAGAGGTCCAGTTTTGCCAGGACCATTTGTTGAAGATGGTGTCTTTCCTCCATTGTGTGTTCTTGGCACCCTTGTCAAATATCAGGTGGCTAGAATTGCCTGTACTCAGGTTTGGGTCTTCAATGAAGTTCCATTGATCTATGTATCTATTTTTTTTGCCAGTACCATGCTGTTTTTTTGACAATAGCTCTATAGTATACATTGAGATCTGGTATAGTAATCCTCCTAGCACTGCTCGTTGTGCTCAGGGTTACTTTGGCTATCTGGGGTCTTTTGTGCTTCCATACAAATTTAAGGATGGTTTTTTTTCTAATTCTGTGAAGTATATCATGAGGATTTTGACTGGGGTTGCATTGAATCTATATATTGCTTTGGGGAGGATGGTCATTTTCACAATATTAATTCTTCCAATCTATGAGCATGGGAGTCCTTCCATCTCCTGGTATCTTCCTCAATCTCTTTCTTTAATATTTAAATTTTTCATTGTAGAGATCTTTGGTGTCTTTAGTCAGATTTATTCCAAGACACTTTTTTGCAGCAATTGTGAATGGGACCATTTCCCTGTATTCTTTCTCCAATGATGGTCATTTTCACAATATTAATTCTTCCAATCTATGAGCATGGGAGTCCTTCCATCTCCTGGTATCTTCCTCAATCTCTTTCTTTAATATTTAAATTTTTCATTGTAGAGATCTTTGGTGTCTTTAGTCAGATTTATTCCAAGACACTTTTTTGCAGCAATTGTGAATGGGACCATTTCCCTGTATTCTTTCTCCAATTGCTTGTTATTGGTTATTGAAAGCTACTGATTTTTGTAGATGATTTTATAACCTGCCACTATACTGAAAGTGTTGATCAGTTCTAGGAGTTTTCTGGTGGAACTTTTGGGATCTCTTACATATAGTATCATGCCATCTGCAAAAATGAATAGTTTGACTTCTTCTTTTCCAATTAGTATTCCTTTAATTCCTTCTCCTGTCTAATAAGCGTTCTAATCTAGCAAGAGTTTCAAGCACTATGTTGAAAAGGAGTGGAGATAGCGGACATCCTTGTCTGGTTCCTGATTTTAATGGGAATCCTTCTAATTTTTCTCCATTTAGAATGAAGTTTGCTGTGGATTTGTTGTGTAGAGCTTTAATTATGTTGAGGTATGTTTCCTCCAGTCCAGTTCCCTCTAGGACTTTGAACATAAATGCATGCTGAATTTGTCAAAAACCTTTTCTGCATCTATTAAAATGATGATGTGTTTTTTGTCTTTGAGTCCATTTATATGATTAATGACATTTATTGACTTGCATATATTGAGCCATCCCTGCATCTCTCAGATGAAGCCTACTTGATCATGATGAATGATCTTTTTGATGTGTGTATGTGGTTTGCAAGTATTTTCTTGAGAATTTTTGCATCCACGTTCATTAAGGATATGGGTCTATAGTGTTCTTTTTTGGTTGTGTCTTTACCCGGTTTGGGTATTAGAGTGATGCTGGCTTCATAGAAGGAATTTGGGAGTTCTACCTCTGTTTCTATCATTTTGAATAATTTAAGTAGCATTGGTGGAGGTCTTCTTTAAATGTCTGGTAGAATTCTGCTGTAAATCCATCTGGGCCTGGGTTTTTTTAGTTGGGAGGCTTTGTATTACTGTTTCAATTTCCTTATATGTTATAGGTCTGTTAAACTGTTGATCTCTTCTTGGTTTAACTTTGTTGGTTCTAATGATTTCAGATATCCATCCATTTCCTTTACTAGC